CAAAGCATACATGTAATGTCATACATCAATAAATTGTTCATTCTAATCAATTAGCACCTTTTGTACAATGAATCCATTGTTATTGATTAGATACACATTAATATCCTGATCATCATCTGTATCACATTCTTCCAAACTATTGGTAATCAGTGATTGCTTGGAATATTTTGAAGGAGAACCACAATCACCTCCTACAAGAGTAGACTAATAAAGAATGGAGGGAAAGAAAGAGAGAGAGAGAGAAATGAAAAAAAGGAAAAAGTAGTACAAAAAGTAGAGTGGAAAATTCGGTAATAATAATACAATGTACGTGTACTGGTGGTTTTTATGTTAGGGATTTTGCAGCCGAGTAACATTGGAATAAGCAAACCAAATTTGGCATTGTTTTATTATTTTCGTCTGAGCAGCGTCATTTTAAAAATAATTAATCATGTTTGACCACAGGATTTGTGATAAAGCATGCTAAGTGAGCTAAACAGCATGAGCTTCATGATCTGACAAGCACTACAATACAGTAAATGACATTTAGAGCGAATTTAAAATTCAAAAAGATCTAAATTTAATCGGAATCAGCTCAAACTTTCTACACGACATAACTACATATATATGTATCAGAAAAAAATATAAAAATAGCAAATTCTCCCCTCTTCATTTTTGGCAAAATTTTGCCCATGACCCTGTACTATAGTACAGGGAATTTGGCACAATTTTTGAGGAAATTTAAAAAATTTGAAAAAAATCTAAGTTTGATCGGAATCAGCTTAAACTTTCTACACAACATAACTACATATATATGTATCAGAAAAAAATATAAAAATGACAAATTCTCCCCTCTTCATTTTTGGCAAAATTTGGCCAATGACCCTGTACTATAGTACAGGGACTTTGGCACAATTTTAGAGCAAATTTTAAAATTCATAAAAAATCTAAATTTCATCAGAATCAGCATAAATATTCTACGCAACATAAGTACAGTATACATATACGTATTAGAACAAAATATAAAATTGTAAAAATTTTCCCTCTTCATTTTTGGCAAAATTTGGCCAAAGGGACTTTGGCACCAAATTAAAAATTCCAAAAAATCTAAATTCGATCGGAATCAGCTCAAACTTTCTACACAACATAACTACATACATATGTATCAGAAAAACCATGAAAATGGAAAATTCTCTCCTTGCAATTTATGTTGAAACTCAAAATACAAGGGTCTTTGGCCAATTTTGAGAAACTTGACAATCTACTGAGAAGATGCTACATGAGAACTACATGCACGCCAAATCTTTTGGGAAACCCAGCCTGACTGTTTTAAAAAACAGCAGATCAAATTCAGCAATGTCTTCAGGAGACAATGTCTGAAGATGTTAATATCAGGATCTGAAGTGACACACATGTGTACATGTCATGTACACTGTACATGTGCAAAATTTAAAAGGAAAGAATTCTTCAATCTTATTACATATTCTGATAAATGTATACATTACTTATGTTGCGTGTATGCTGTACATTATTAACATGTAACTGCATTATAATTAGCTCATTGCTCATTTGACATATTTTCATGTATATTATTTTAGGTTCCCTTACTCTTTTTCTCTTCATTTCTTTTGACTCATCATCTAATGGTGGTAACGAACCATCTTTAAATAATGAACTCCATTCAACACCATCAGCCATCTTCTCCAATGTAATATCCAATCTATGAAAATAAAAAATAATTATGTTTGATATTAATTAATAGATAATACTAAAGACAAACAAAAACAAATATACAATAAATGAATAAAGAATTAATAAAATAATAATAATTATAATAAACAAACAATGTACAATAAATAAATAAATAATAATAAATTTAAAATACAATAAATAAATAAACACTAAAAATCACTTACTTTCCTTTAGAGTAGGTCCAGGTGCTAGTACATTCATCAATATTGTATAATAAATCTCCTCTAATGTATGTTGTACCATCACTTAAACCAACACTGATACTGGTACTCTCCATTATACATACTATATCTGATTTATTAACATCTTCTGGTATCATTATACTAATATTGATATCAGTGCTTGATTGATTCCAGCCGGTATTATACTCCATTGTATCTTGATTGGTGTTCCCATCACTTTCCTTGTCTTCATTCACCTTCTTCTCTTCTCTATCTATTCCTGGTGCTGATTCTGATACCAATAGTAAGCATTCATTGATATATTCACTGTATAACGGTACAGTGGTCGCTCTGAATCTACACAGCTGGGTCTGAGAAACAACTTCAATATTACCAGACCCAAGACGATCAGAGAGACACACCCTCCACCAGACGCAAGTACAGTATTTTATGGATGTATCTTCTAATTGGAACGTCATAAAGTCGATGGCATTACCCCCATCAATCAATGATGCTGACTGTATAGTAACATTACTAGTAATCAACTTTATTCTTGATATTATACTCCAGAAATTAATATCAGTACGATCCCCAGTATAGAATAATAAGCAATTACCATCATCGTATGACGGCTCATAAAAGAGGGCGTGGTTTTTAGAGAGAAAGATGAGACTTGAGTTAGTGGTAGGAGGGTCTGATGATG